CGATGCTTTTATCTGATTGAGTTACAACAAGTTGAAGCGTGAGTTTAAACACAGCAAGATAGTTTTGGATGCAAAGGACCCAATGTCTCTCTGTGTTTTAAACCAGACATTAATTAGGGGCTCCACTAATCATGACAAAGATGTCATGGTTAGAGCTCAGGATTTTCATACTTGGAAATGCAGCTAGACAATTAGTTTAACAGCACACCTTGACACTAACTGGACTCTATCAGTGCACCAAAGGAAGTTTACAGAGGACTGTAGCTACCCAGAGATCCCATCTTCTACAGGTTCAACAGTTGCCCTAAATGTGAATGCAATGACAAATCCAAGGCTGCAGTCAGAATGAAGTGATCCCTTATTCTGCAGGACAGAAATCAAAAGAAAAGAAATGCAGAGACATGCAGTATTTTCTCAGAGGGGTCAGAGATAAACTGGGAGTGACCCATTCATTGCAATTACTTACATGAAACATGCAAGTAGATTGGAATGCAATAATAAATGGAGGACAGATATTAATTCCTCTGGCTTTGGACCCCATCGCGAGTACCGCATCCAGCTCTGGGGTCCCCAGTACAAGAAAGACATGGACCTCTTAGAGTGGGTCCAGAGGAAAGCCACAAAAATGATCAGAGGGCTGGAGCACCTCTCCTGTGAAGAAAGGCTGAGAGTTGGGGTTGTTCACCTTGGAGAAGAGAAGGCTCCGGGGAGACCTTATTGTGGCCTTGCAATATATAAAGGGGGCTTAAGTTATAAAATAGCTTACAAGAAAGATGGAGAGAGACTTTTTACCAAGGCCTGTGGTAACAGAACAACGGGCAACTCTTTTCAACTGAAAGAGGGTAGGTTTAGATTGGACAGAATGAAGAAATTTTTACAATGAGAGTGGTGAGACACTGGAACAGGCTGCCCAGAGAAGTTGTGGATGCCTCATCACTGGAGTGTTCAAGGTCAGGTTGGATGGGTCTTTGAGCAACCTGATCCAATGAAAGATGTCTCTGCCCATGGCAGGGGGTTGGACTAGATGATCTTTGAAGGCTCCTTCCAACCCGAAGCATGCTGTCATTTTGTTATTCCATGTAGCATTTTCAGTGTTCCCAGATGATGGTAACAAAATACAAAATCAAGAGAGGTCAAAAGACATTGATATCCCATTGAAGAGAGTCTCCTGCATACCTAGGATGGCTGAGAATTACAGTGAATTCACATTGAAAAGCTACTGGCTGTTCCAAATGTGTTTAATGTGTTTCAAGAGCAGTTTCAGAGCACAGATGGGAAGATCTAGACGGAGTGATTTTCAGTTTCTGCAACTGAACAATGTTAGGATAACATGGGTATTCTTAGCTCCTTTTACTTTCCACCATAGTAGGAGAAATCTCATAACTAACCACAATAACATTGCTGAGAATTTCAGCACAAAGCTAGCTAAAACCACCTTCAACAGTGTAAGCTTGCACTACCAGACATTTAAAGGAACTGGATTTCAATGGGTTTTTAGTGCCTAACTGCCTTAGGTTACTTTACAAATCCCATCTGCGCTTTCCTGTTACCAGCAGAGAAGCAGCATCAACGTTACAATCTTTTGCTTGTAGTTGCTTTCCCCATTTCCCTGCAATGCACTTTAAAATAGCTGAACAAATTCTAGGATTTCTGTCAGGATATGCATTGGGCTGAATGATGTTTTTCTAACTGCTTAAGTGAGCTTACCTGATTTTGCCTGAGATGACACTGTCTAAATCAGCATCAGTAAGACAGATTGTAGTTGCCAAATACTCTTCTAGAATAACTTCATTGAGCTCTGCAGAGAACTACCATGAAATAATATAAGCTGATACCTCTGATACCTCAGTCCTGGCCAACTGGCTCTAGGTGGCCCTGCCTGAGCAGGGGGTTTGGACCAGATGACCTTCAGAGGTCCCTTCCAACCTCAGCCAGTCTGTGATCAATGGAGATTAAACTGCTTTAGAAGGAGTGCAGTGCATGAAGTTGGCTGTGACTATTTCCCTAGTATTAGAGATGGACTCTTGTCATGATCACTGGCTACATTTCATTAATCTTAGTGACTCTGTTACCTGAATACAACAGTTTATTTTTCTGTTCTCAGATACTGAGTTGGAAGATTCCTCCAATAGTGGCAGTTTACCAACATCAAAAGCATGGAAAGTGCTAAAACATGTCAGTGTGATTTTCACAGGGTGCACAGCAGCCTGTACTAAGGTAAAAGGCTTCATAGGCAGTTATGGTAATTGTTTGGGCATACCTGAAGGGTTTGCTCTGTGGGTAAGACCTTGCCCTGCATTAAAATTACTCTCCATATCATCCTTTTATAAAATTTCTCCAAACCTGTTGTGCCTCAGAAGTCATCTGCCACCTATCCCTGCATCCTTGGTGCTTTCCTCCAGGAACCTGGCAGCAGGATTAGTGAAGACCAAGCTGCCCAGGGCACCTTCATCTGGTGACCAGTTCCTGGGCACAGTTCAAGTCTTCAGGAGCTAGGATTGCTAGGAGACCACAAGAGCCTAGACATATAAAATGGATGAAAGGATGTGAATTCATTAGAATAAAACACATGCTGGGTATCAGGAAAGGTGTACTGCCCAGGAGCTCTACAACAATATATAACAATCTCAGAAGTGAAGATCTGAGTGCTGCTGGAATGGCTGGAGAAGGGCAGGATGGAGAGGGTGGCACAAACATGCCTGTGCCCATCCCATGTGTAAATGAGACCCAAAACATCTGGAACGTCTCTTTAAACACTGGACTGCAGGCCTACTTTAAATGAAGCCCATGTGACTTCAGCTATATTGCAAGTTTTGCTACTGTATGAGCCTTTAATAATGCCATTCATAACGATTACCAGACTAATATACTGAGGCATTCTTCCCAAATTATAATGTGTTCTTACATTAACATAAGGCAGTCATTTATTAGAGAGAGAGAGAAGGAGGGAGGGAGGGAGGGACTTAATTTAATGTCTGCTGAGGCAAACAATTACAAATTGCAGAAAGGCTGTGCGAGTAAGGAGAGAGACTGGCTAAACTATTAATAAAATTCCTGAGGTGTTCCTGTATCTGTCTTGCTCTTGCTTTCACTTGTGGTGAGGCCCCTTTGTTGTTGTAGCTAGGCAGGTTTTCAGGAGTGCCGTGATGCTGCCCCCACTGAAAAACAGCAGACACTAATAATAAACAAGAGAAGACAATGGTGAGGAACAGTGCTGCTGCTTGGCCCTTTGCCCAGCCATGACAAATGCATCAGGCAGCTTGCGAGAGCTACTTGACTCCACGCATGAGGAAAAGCTGGTGGCATAAAAGAAAGGCTGGCAGCCACACCTGCATGGGAGACACAGAGCCCTGTTTGCAGCTTGGAAGTGAATGCAGATATGTAGGGAGTTTCCTTTCCGAAAGGAAATATGAGTCTGGTCAGTGGCCTTGGGAGTCTCTTTCTTCATTGCCCTCCCACTTACATTAACCCATCTTTGCCCAGCCTCCTGTCAGTCTAATACTGGCTCTGAAGCTTTGGATTTGTTCACATCTGGGATCCCCAAGTAGGAGATCTGAGAGAAATAAAGAGATGAGGCAGAGCCGCAAAAGCAAATTAATAATGTTTCAGAGGAAATGAGAACTAAAGAAATCCTATACACTGAATAAGCCAGGCCCATGTTACAGACCAGCCTGGTTGGCCAAGATGTCTACTGGAACACATGGAGATGTCAGATTTTGTTTCTTAAGACAACAGACTTGCCCTGTTGGCTGAATGCTGGAACCTGCCCCTGGAAATGTAGAAGGCTTGGGGCCACTGTGGTGTATAAGCTGTATATAAGCTCCCAGAATGATACTGTGGCCAAAAACTGATCTGATCCGTGAATGTAAAAACACAGTAAAGTCAGGTAGGAATAGATGGGTGTTACCACTGGTATACTTGGCACTTCTTTTGCTACTGCTGGAATATTGAGTCTTGTGTTGCAGTACCAAGAACAGTACTAAAACTGGCTGGTAGTAAAACTGGTGCTGAAATCATTAGTAAACTGGATAATGCTAATGGATAATTGGATAAAGTTCAGCCATTTTAGAATGATTAAATGATAAGAGGCATGACATAGTGAGACACCAACACCTGTTTCATATAAAAGACAAAATGAAGGGACAATCTGAATACAGCCTGTGAGTACCTGCACGGTAACAAAATTTGGAAAACTGCCTCCAATTCAACAGACAAAGGTTTAAGAAGATTCAGTATCTAGAAATTGGAGCTAGACATATTCAGATCAGCAATAAAGGACACTTTTTTAATGTGAAGGGCAGGCACCATCTGGAGAACCTACCTCTACTTGTGCTTTGTGGAGGTTTTGAAATCACTGGCGATTTTATTTATTTTTTTTTTTTTCCTAGAAGAAAATGCTGGCCTGTAATACACAGCAGACCCAGTACTCTTATCGCATGGCTTTCTCTGGGTTTCTGGAGCTGAATTCAGATTCCCTTGAAACAACTCAAGGATTGTGGGATCTGAGTACCTTGTGCTTTAATTGATGCCATGGGTATTACAATTATACTTTTCTCATCCTTTTGAAGTTTTCCCAGAAAAAACCATTGTGACAGTATCTAACTTCCATTTTTAATGAGCACTTAGATGTTAGTATGATTTTATTACATCCATTTTGAGGGGTTGACTAGGGAGGAACAAAGCAGTTTTGGTTGCAACTAAGTACGAACATTTTGCTCCCAACTGAGCCAGAACGTTGATCCTCTGGGGAAGCTTGAACAAGTTCAGTTAAATTCCCACTGCTCCTTTCAGATCCTCCTGCTTGCATAAATGGTTGCTGTTGAACCTGGCAGCAAAAAAACAAAGCTTGAGAAATCCTGCTTTCCAAGTCTAGCAGGTCTGCAGGGATTCCCTGCCCCCTGACTGGTTATCTCTGGGTAATGTGTGGATTTGTTATGTCTGAGCAATAGCAAGTGTCTGGGAATAACATCAGTGAGCTCGTCTGTTCTTTCTCTTTGCAGTGCCTACACTGAGCCCTACAAGGTGTGCCCAGTCTCTGCGATACCAATGGAGGTTGTCACATCAGATGAAGAACAGAAGAGTTCAGAAGATGATGACAGCAGCCTGAGTGATCCCAGCCTCATCAAGGTAAAATAGCTAAAAATGGTCAATGCGTGAAACCTGGAGACAGAGAAACAATTTGCAGAAGAACCTGCACTCTCAACTCTCTCTGCTTTTTGCCTGGTGGTCATTTAGAAATGTCAGAACCATTCATCTTTTACTCCTCCAGTGCACTAGCAACAATTTACCCCTATAGCATGGGGCAAAGCCAAAGAACTGCAGTCCCAAGATGGACAGTGGAGGCAACATAGGCAGCAGGAAAGGCCTGACTTGAATGTCAGGAAAAATAATCTCACTCAGAAGAAGGGTTTAGCTGCAATCCCGAGAATTTCAAAAATATATTGAATAAAACAATGACAAATACATTGGGACCAGTTCTACATTTGCTGGGAGATGGAGTAAATTATCTAATAGGTCTCTGCCATCTCAAAATTCTCTCATCATGGGAAAATGCACTTATGTTTGGGTTTATTTTACTGACTTCTGATTAATAAAACGGCTCTTAAACAAATTATGGAGAAGACCATGGAAATGTGACCACAGCTTAAGACCATACAAGGCTGTTTTAACCTCTAGTAAGCGGACTAACAGTGCAGTTGTTAAAGAAATGGCATGAAGCAGTTTTAGGCACAAATTTATCTTTGTTTTTCACAGTTGTTTTGTTTTATGTGTGTGTGTGTGTGTGTGTGTGCTCTTAAAACCTAATATGGGCCTAACAATCTAATGTTCTGTCTCTGAGTACAAGCATCCAGTACATAGCCCATTTGGTATGCATGCAACAAGTGGGTATGTTCTTCTGAAGTCTTCCAATTTGAGCCCCAGGAACTAAGGCTCCATAGGAAAACAGCAAATCCTGATTTCTTACACCTCTGTCTGCCATTCATTTTGTCCTGGTCTCTCAGTGTCAGCACAGCTATGTGGCTTCCTGATTGTAGATGGCTTGTATCCGGTCACGGGCATGTGTCAGAGCCTGCAAAAGTCTGTGCAGATGCCTCTCCAAACCCAAATGATGGCTGAGTAAGGGTCAATTCTGTCAGGGAGAAGCATAAAGATATTAATTCTAGGAAGATCAGATCTCTTCAGGCATTTCCAGAATGTGAAGCTTTGTTTAGGGACAGGTGCAGAGAGAAGGAAGCAGAATTTTCCCCTTACCAGGACACCAGTTCTTGAGAAACAGAAAAAGAAACTGCAAGCGGAATGATAGCGAAAGGCAAATGAAATTGCTGTTGTTCTAATCTCTGAGGGAGGATAGCTTCCTTTGATCTCCCTGTATGCTGTATCACTTTTAGGTCTACCCTGCAGGGTGCTAAGCTGCCTCTGGCATCAGTGGAAAAGACTGTGGTTTGATCTCCTTGCTGACATGAAACAAATTAAACAGTTGCAAGCAACCTTATCTTTTTTCCTCTGAGATTCATTAAATTTCTTTGGTTGTTTGTTTTCACACTGTTTTGGAAAGAGAAAAGCCTTTAAATTTCTGACATTCCCTGTTAAATTAAAAATATTTGTCCTTTCAGTTCTATTAGTTGACAAACAACTACTGTTTATAGAGCATACACTAGTGTGTTATCTAAGCTGGCCAGGTTTCTCAGCATCTTAGTTGTGATGCCAGTGGAGAAGTGACAACAAAATTGTGACTCTAGTTCACAAGGGAAATGCATGCAATCACTATGTGCTTGGAAGCAAATTCAAGGCTGCTAAAAGCAATTTTATTGCCATTTTTTTAGGGTTTTAGTCAAGCAACTGGGAAATTATGGGTTTCTAAATGTCTCCCTTACTGTATCTCATGCATTTTAATTCTTCTGTTGTGGTGGAATAACCACACTGTGTAGCTGTCACAGAAGGCGGCAGCACTTAGAGAAGAAGCATGTGCTTCAGAGTCTAACTGGAGGTACCCCTCCCACTTTTCAGGCGAACAGGAACTAAATGTCTGCACATGCCTGATAGAGAACATCAGAACAGGTCTGGTTGGCTGGTTGGTTGGTCTTTGCTTCCCAAGCTAATTGTCAGCAAGGATCACAGTACACAGGACCAGACTTCCAGAAGTTCCTGGGAATCTATCTTAAAACAGCTCCCTCTGAGTACAGGCCGTATTTCCAAGCTGGCTGATGAATTAGTGCATGTGGCTATTTACCCTGCCAAGAAGCAGGCCAGGAAAGTAGATGTAATCTGATCTGCCTGTTGTAATTCTGGCTGTAGGAAGGTTAGCCACTCTGCAATCTACTGGGCTCTAGCTACAGACTCTAAGAAGAGGCTGGAGCAGCAGTAATTTCATGCCTGGATAAGCCACGTGCTTAGTAAGCCAAGTCGGGGGCTGTGCTTGTGTGTGAGACCAAGAAAAGATCTAGAGATGAGAAGTGGCACTGAGACACCTTTCAGTGTCTTTGTCCTTGCAGTCTCCGTGGGGCAGGCATCACTTTAGACAGACTAAGGGCGTCCTGGGAACCATCCTGTCAAACCCTGTGTGTCTCAGCTGTCCCCAGGACCCAGTCTGTTCAAGGAGACACCTGATCTGGGCAGTCAGAGGCCATGTAGCACCAGGACTCTCTTGCTGCTCTGTAAGAGCCTCAGTGTCACTTCTGCAGGCTGTGTGAAGCAGTCATCAAAAGATGGCCAGGGAAGACCCAATTTCTTAGGGAAAACAATCAGTGCAGGGTTCTGACATGAAGGATGCAATATATTTAACTGTTGCCTTTTGCCCATGCCAGCCACAGAGTAATAGTGATACGGAAATCTTCCAAGGTCTCACGCAGCCCACATTGCAGATTCTCTGTCAGAGACAAGGGCTTCCAGTTCACTGTAATTAAGAGTGAACAGGATAAATTCCATCTGTCCACAGCTCCTGTATCAGAAAGCACTGGTGTCTTTACAGAGGACTGGTTTTCCTACCCAACTGCTCCCACCTCCTTTCACTGTCTTCTCATGCAAATCTTCTGGGTGCCAAGAGAACATTACCTGCCCTGTCAAAACCTGTCTCTACAATGACAAAGCACAAAGAACTTGTCCAGCTCCCCAATTAAGTGATGTATCCCTTGAAGCAAAATCCTCAGGACAACACAGAGTGGCTGTACAATATGAAAGAGTTCAGAAGCACTGTCACTTAGGGAAAACTGGCAGAGACATGTTGGTCTGGATGTCAAAAATAGTACCATGGATTTTGAAATGAGCTAATCTTGTTAAAACAACTGTTTGGGGCTGGCCTACTAAGAGCTGAATTTTGATTTTTAAAAAGGCATATGCAAAAAAATAACCTTCTAGGGTTTGTTGGTTTGATTTCTGGTTTTCTCCTCCTCAGAGAAACTTAGTTTAAATAAAGGCAAGAAACAGCCTAAATGATAAAATCTTCACCCTGCGTTCAGATATATGATTTTCATTTGCATTGAGCTGGATTCTACCTGCTGCCTTTCACTGTCATGAATGAATTCCTGTACCAAAATGCAAGCAGCATGCTTTGGTTTTTCTCATCTGCTTTCTTCTAGCCTGCTGGCTGGAGAACAGCAAGACTTCCAGTTTGCAGCAGAATTTTTTCTTGATGTTTCTTTTTCAGGCTCATTTTTATAAGTTAATATAATTTAAAAAACTAGCTTTGTACACACATTTCCTACTATTGTTTCAACAGCTTGTCTCCTTTGAATCCATGCTTTCCTGGGAACCAGATTCACATGAGTGTAGAGAAATTTTTAGGCGCTGCTGGAACCCCTGTTCTGTAAACAATTTGAATCATAGCAAATAATCTATGTTGAGGCATTTTTTATATTGTCAGCTTTATTTTAAAGAGCAAACAAAGAGGGGCTTTCATCTCTATTGTGTTCCAGGAATTTTTATTACTAAAAACCTATTTGGAATGGGGCAGGTGTAAAAATGTAAAATAGGAGGTGGGTTTCAAATTTTTGCCTTTATTCCACTGGGAGTACCTCAGACCCTGAGAAGCTGAGCATTTGCCATCAGAAGTCACCTGGTCGTTTTGAATCTTCTGTATGAGACTAACAGTGAAAATTCATTCTTTCTGGTTAAATAAGCACTTTAATTCCTTCTCTTCAGTCTGCTGGCATATGATAACAACCCAGAGAACTGAGATGCAGGGAATGCTGTAAGTTTTCTTAACCTTTGCGATTCTACTTGGTTATATTATAAAATGCGATGCCCTTCACTTACACTAGTGATGGAGATTCGCTCTTTTTTTTTCCTCCTGCTAAGCTAATTTAGAAGAGCTCCTCGGCCATCTCTCATTCATGTGTCTTTTATATATGTTCATTTAATCAAATCCCTCCCAATTTATCAGAAAGTGACACATGGCTTTTCTGTACTAGGCTCTCAAGGTTATATGATGGCATCTGAGCTGCCTACCAAAAAAAAAAATTGCAATTAGAGGTTCCAGCTAGGAACAAAAAACTTGTATCAAATAAAATAAGGACTTTCTCTTTATCTCCTATCTCTGAACCTTCACTCACTAGACAAATGCTCGAAGTCCAGGATGCAGAACCCCAGATTTTTCATCTCATCACTGAGCTGGATTCAGACCTGAACTTCGTGACTGTTTTTTACTGCTAAAAACTGATAAATCCATCTTGGACCCAGCTAGCTAATGAGCATTAAAGGAATTAAAGGGGAAATGAGCTAAATAGTTCAGATTTGACTAGACACCAGCTTCAAACTGAGTTCCCTTTGGCACAACTTGGGTTTTGTAGCAGTCTCAGAATTTCCAGTTTTAAAAAGAAGATCAGAAATAGGGACAATATAATCTTCAAAGTCTACTTTTGAGAAGCTCAGCTTCATGGTTTGAAATGGACTAGAATCAACACATGCTGGTAGGTTTCACCTATTGCTGGTTATGATCTGAGTTGAATTTTTGAATTGCCGGTACTTTGAGGAAGATGCTGCGTATGCTGGATCATCAGCTACCCCTCCATAGGTTGTGCCTCTCACTTTAGTGTCAGAATCTTGAAGCAAGAGTCTTCAGTCGATTCCTTTCCTGTAGGTATTTTTTAGGACTGGATCTTGTGGCCAATTGATCCCTTCTGTCACTAACC